AATATCACCCTAAAACTTGCATTTGAAATAATTTTGTCACTTTGAGATAACACACAGGAGGTAAAGCACCAGAAGACAACCCTGAGCCTCACCTGGGAATTTTTCACTAAAACACACTAAAACACTAAAATAAGGGAAGGACTTTTTTCTTTTTCTGATATAGCAAGACACAAGTAATACACGGAAGGAAAGTTCAAAAAGCACTTAAATTTGAAAAGGGCCTGCTAAGAGTAATACATACCTTGTAATCATGTGCACCCTCCTACCACCAATATCTAGTATGACATTTAAAGAAGTGACCAGAGTGGGTTTCCCAGCCAAGATTTAAAAATCAAAGGTAGGAAAAATTTACACTAACCATGGAGGATCCTGTAATTGGGATCAGTTGTCCAAAGAAAAATACTCAGTGTATAGAAGCCTGTACATGGCTGGTCTGGAAAGTTTGGTCTGGATGGCTCAAAGGCTGAACATAGACTTAAAAACAACATCTGCACCAATTATTTCATGTGGATTTCAACACGAAGGGAAGGAAAGGGATCCTCTCTCTTGAGTGGAGCAACAGCAGCACTTTAGGACAGCGAACAAAAAGTCTTGATGAGGAGTGATCCAAATCACCTAGAACTTGGTATTATGTGAATTTGTTCTGCAGTTTGTCAGTGGAGATGGAACTGCACTGGAACTCATTGCACAGGTGATGTTCAAGGCTGACCTTGAATCTGAACATCCACCTCCACACGAGGCTATTCAAAATAAAAAAACCTCTCACAAATAAGAAAGAAACAGATGTTCTCAAGGATTCATCACACTTTGCCTGTGCTCACAGAATACATTTATTCTAAGCAGGAAACCTACTAAATGTGTCCCTTCACACATGTATTTCTGGCTTTCTGGAGTTTAAGTGCAGTGAAGGGGTACAGAAGTACAATCAAGAATGCTAACAAGAGAACAAAACATGCAGAGTAAGAGACTGAAAGAAGACTTGCTCAAAGAAAATGTAAGTCTTCAGTCTGTGATTGTGAAGTCGAAATGAAAAGCAGATGGCCCCCTGCACGGTTTCTCCAAAATAAATTACATGTAGTGACAAAGTGGGGCTGTTTCCAGCAAATTTTGTAGCCTTTTATAGTTGGGAAGAGAGATACAAATAAGGGATAGGTAAAACAAATTCAGAAGCCCTCTTGAGAGAAGAGAAAGGAGGAAGTGCATTGAAAGTGAGGTGATGGTCAGACAGTGGAGAGTGAGGTGCAGCCAGCACCAGCAGTGACCCAACACAGCTCGGTGCTGGTGACTGCAGCTGCTGAGAGGCAGAGGCTGCAGCACCCTGCTAATGGCCAGTCCCCGGGAAAGTGGGGGTGAAATCAGATCAATCACCTTTCCAGATTTTAGGAAGCAGGATCTTATTTCAAAACAGAAATATGAGCCTTTCAAGAGAGCCGCACAAAGAACAGTGATGGAGAAAGGCTCCTTTGAAGCCCAACCAGATTGCTTTAAAGAAGAAGCCGCTGAAGTAACGAGTGACACGGGTCACTCAGTGCCGGACTCCGGCAGCCGCCGGTGACGTCCTGCTGTAACTGCGGCGCACGGAGTCCCTCACCTGGATGGTTGCCACGGGCACAGCGCACACTTGGGCCGCCACCCAGCTGGTGTTGGTGGCCCGAGCCAGCTCAGATCCTCGCAGGATAAACCCTCCCCTGCCCCGAACCGGCCCGCAGGGCAAGGAGCGTCTGGAGAATATCTGGCCTCACAGTCTGGGCAGCTGCGAGCAGTGCGTGCAGCTGCACTGCCCCCGAGTAACACAGAAATTAGAAATGATGTAGTTATGTCTGATGGGGGAACACAGGCTAGCAAGAAGTCTCCCAGAATAATCCAAAAATGCATTTCCTGGATGATTTACAGGTGCCCAGGCATAATTTGAGCACTGTGAGCATAGTGAAAAAGGGATCAATAAAGTGTGTGCACATTCTAGGATTAAAACTTTCAAGTTTCATTTCGGAAGGGTCCAGACTGAACTCTTAAAACATTTATTTTAAATAAATGAAATATTAAAATACTATGAATTTATTTGTATATAACACTTTAATATTTAATCAAGGAACCATGAGATCTAAAAACTTGCTACTTACATTAAGAACTCACCCATTACAACTCAGAACTTCAACGATAAGATGACAAATTCTCTGAAGGATATGGAAACGCTCATACGACCATGGTGTGGCTCTTTGGTGAGGAACACTAGGATATAGGAGTCATACACTGGGATATGGGAATTGTGCACATAGCACTCCTGCTATGTGTAGGGCATGAGAGCTCAGGAGTGTTGGGACACAGGAAAGCACAGCAAAGGTGTTTGTCTGAATTCAGTGTCACTAAGATCTGCCTGGGGCTTGGAGTCAAAGCAAAGGATCAGCTGAACTCATCTGTGTTTCCCTGGAATACCATTAACACATGCATTTGGCAGAATGTCCTGCTGTTAACTCCCACCAGATGAGCCAGACCTGATTAAAAACTTTTTTTTTTTTTTTTTTGACATGAGCCACAAACACATTAAAGAACTATTTTAGGGCTGCAAGGTATTTCATGTTAGAGCTACTGTTTAGCACAACCTCATTATTCCACAGTAACAATATTCTTACTAGTGACACCACAACAGCAAAACAAAGGCTAAAGTTTGACTCAAATTTAAAAATTTTAAATAGCTTTTTTTTAATGGCCATACCTCACTAAAATACTTATGCTGAATATTTCCCATGCCTACTTTTGTACACATTACAGTTGTTAATATAAGCAATAAAGAACCTCAAAAATACAAAAGGATGTTACTGAATCATTTAAAAAAATACCTATAATTACAGTTCTGTCAAAAACTATTGTGATCTTGAAATTATTCAAGAATTATTCTGCATTTTTACAGTATGAAGTGGAAGATTAAAAATAATCATATTGTTCTTATTTAGATTGTGGAAGTGTCTGTGTTTTCTTAAAAAGTACAATATGGCTAGTGTTAATTCTAAAAGCTTGACAATACCCCTTTGTTAGGTAAGCTACTGCAACAAGGTCCATGCACGGATCCTGTACTCAAAGGGAGAAAGCAGGAAGAATAAAAAATTCAATAATCTTATATATGTAAAAATCTATAGCCATACAGTGAAAAAATACTACAAAGCTATGTCAATACAAAGGAGTAAAATTGTGTAACTGGATCAATTACTGCACTGCAGCACTTAAAGAATAACCAAAACAAAACCAAACACTTTCTCATGTAGAGAAATTCTTATCTTGGTGTGTGTTGCTGCTGCTGACGTGGCTCATGTTGGTGCAGCTGCAGCTGCTGCTCAGAGGTTGAGCCCTGCACCGATGCCACTGGTGCTGAGACTGGGCACTGACTCCCTGCTGCAGAGAACCAGCATCCCGAGTCTCACACAGCAAACAGGAGTTTGTTTCCCAAAACGGGACACTGCCACCTTTTCCTTTCACAGCCAGTAACCAGAGTATTTGTGATGGGCAAAACCAGACTAGGTATTACTCTGTGTACTTTGGGAGGGTAAAATTCAACTCTTTAACTAGTAAGAATCATATTGAATTTATTTAATAATCTATAATCAACTTCATAACTGTAAATTATTAACAGCCATCACATCCCAACAAGGAGCATGTATGCCACTGGCATAACATACAATATAGTAATGGTCTAAATCCTCTCAACTAAGACAGCTTTAGACTTCAGGGTTATATTGTTTAATTATAACTTCTTTCTGATAATTTTATTCCAATAAATACCAAGCAAATTGAAATAACCCCCCATCTTTGCTATTGGAAAAGCCACATGAAAAGAACAAGGAAATATTTGTATTACCTATTAAAAATAAGATGCTTTAATATAATTGCATCAGAAATTACTAACAGCCAACTTAATTTTAAACTGCAACTGTATGAAACCCTTGGGTTTATCACTTGGGAGTTTCTTGGTGAAGTATTTTCTACTCTGATTATCAGTAATATCTGACATGTCATATAACCCCTCTAGTCTCCAAGTATGAGTTTGCCAGTATAAAGGCTGCACTTGGCCCTGAGAAACACAGTCTTTCATTGTTTGCTACCAAAACGTCCTGTTTGCAGAGCTGCGGAGGACTGACTCCTGCTTCTTCTACTTCTCCCTTCGTTAACAATACCGATCTTAGCCCAAGAGGTGGTTTTATGTATGGTGAATACTATCAACATTATCAAACAAAGAGGTGCTAAATAACTTCTGTTCAGAAAAATTCCAGTGGTGAAACAACAAAAAGGCATTCCCCAACAATTTACTAACTGGATTCTGAGGAGTTATTAATAATTTGTTTAATGAGTTGTTTGGGTTTTTTGACATATCAATATTTTGAAATACTGTTACTGTGCCTCACAAATTGAATAATGTATTAGAATTCTGCAAGTTAGTTTCATAAAACCAGCCCCCTATAATATACTGAATTTTTAAAAGAAAACATAATAGAAAAATAACTATGTTGAGGAACACCTGTTTTTGATAAATACATTTGAAAAGACACCAGGGTTTAATAGACTCCTAAAAAGTTTAGCTGTTTTTAGATTTTTTTTTCCCTGTTTGCAAATATGCTGCTTTTCTTGCTCTCTAGGAAGACAAACTGCTTTTGAAAGGTTGTGGCAAGGCAGTTGAAGCAAATACTTCTGGTAGATTTCAATAGCATTTTTTCAATTTACAAAATGTGAAAACATCTTCCAATTAGTAAAAAAATTAGCCTAATATACAAACACTTTCTTTAAAAATTCATCTGTGAAGGAATGTAGTGTAATTGCCCAGACTCATACCCATTCACTCCTCTGACACTGGTAGCTACCTTCTCTTGACACAAGCCTCTCTATATTAACCCAGAGAAATGCGTACATGGCCAGTTAGCCCAAGCAAAATAGCCGTTCAGCTTTCCCCAAATTTAAACTATCATAAATTACCATTTAGACAGCATTATAAAGAAATTGAAGCATACAAGGAATAAACTATATTTTCTTTTTATATCAAAATGTACTCTTGAAAATGTGTTTGGCACAGAGCTAAATCATATAGTTAATACTAAATATTGCAGGATACAATAAAACCCTGGAGTTAACTTGTGTTTACACCCTTCTAGGGATAAAAATAAAAAGATACCAATTATTCAGAAGTCAGCCTATACAAACTGTATAAACAATATTTTATGTCTTGTTTTGAAAACCACTGATATAGTAAATTTTACATAAAAGACTGCAAAATAATATAAATGGATTTAAACAGATCTTTACAATAAGAAATTCAAATCGAAACAGACAAGTAACAAAGAGAAGTAAAAAAATTTATTGCAGTATTCGTTCCACCAGATTTGCTGGGGATCCCTTTTCTTGTATTATTTCAGGGTGACCTAATACATCAAAATCTACATTTACAAAAACTCCTCCTGCAGATAGGTCATAGATACTGCATGCTTTTTTTCTTTTTTTTTTTTTTTTTTTTTCTTCAACAGAATAAATTATATATCCAGGAGATTCTGCCACTTTACAGCCTGGAAAAACAATGCTTTCCTGGAAACTGGGCTAAGCTAAAGAAAGCCATCCGCTGCTAGGTTAAACTCCAAGAACACTTTATTAAGAACATTAACAGACTAATTTCCAACATTCACTTGTTTATTTTTTTTAAACAGAAAGGTTTTTTTTTCAAGATATAAACAATTTTTTTGTTAAACTATAATACAGTGGGAGTAAAAATGAACTGAGAAGTTTCTGCTGCACAACAGCGAAGGAAGCTCCCACATAAATGTTTACCAAATATTTCCTTCTTTTTTCTTGCGTCCCAGATTCCATTCTTACTCTTCATTTAACTGATTTTTTTTTTTTGCCAGAAAGTTGATATCTCAAGTTTTTCTGTTATTTCAATTCCTGTAAATTTGGCTGCATGTACAAATTCATTAGCTGGAAGTTCCATCCTTGGCGGCATACAGCGATCGTAAAGTCTGCACAACTTTATTAGTCAGCTTATTAGCACTCGTTAGAGCAATTTTTTTGTAAATAATGTCTGACTCTTTAATAGTGTCTACCCAAGGCACCAGTTTGCGGCCATCACGGCGCTTAGCCTCAGTCCAGGAGCCACTGTAGGAGCCTGCCATCCACTGAACACTGAAGCCATTGCTGGTTTTCTGTACTACTCTTGCAATTTGTGGTCGGTCTTTGTACTTTGGACAGCAAATAGCGATGACATCCATGACATCAACACTTTCATTCATCTGTGCTGCCAACTCCGTAGAGTCTGAATTTCGTTTTGACCTTCTCAATGACTAAAACATTGGGGGGAAAAAAGACCAAGTGTTACACAAAAGAACTTTAGTGAAATTATTGCTTTTATTGCTTTTAATCCCTTGACGCCGGGAGTTGGGATTCCCCGGCACACATTCCATTGCCGGCAATGAGACGCACCGCGACCGCCAGCGCCAAGGGGTTAACATATCCTTGTAAAACCACATACTCTTAATTTGTACCCGTGTCTTTACCTCTTATTGATATATAAAATTATATATACACACGAATCATAAAGCTACATAAAAACTTGGCAACAATAAAAAGGATAACACACAGTACATTCCAAAGGAAAATTAATAAATTTTTATATGGGATAAATCTCATTTTCTAGTTTGTGTTTTTTTTATTGTCTTTTCTGTTAAACTTTCTACAAAACTTGTATAAATGGTTAAGTAGAGAATCTCTATCTACAAAATGCTTTCTTTCATGTCGATTACATTACTTGGTGTACATTTAATATAATAGACTGACATTTATAATCACATAAAAATAATTTTACGTAATACGCTGTGAAATACGTTGACTCCTCCTCCGCCTCACCCCTGAAGTGCCTCCTCCTCTATCCTCCCCATCACTTTCATCATCCTCTGTCTCAGCTGCATTGTTTTTAGGGCTGCCTCCTCCAAGAAGTGAGGTAATTGCTTTGTTCCGAGCATTTGTGCTAGCTGACACCTCTCCATCTTCTTCCTCTTCATCAGGATCCAAATGTTCCATAAGGAGCTTGAACTATTAAATAAACCCCCCAAAAAACAGATCACTTTACATTCAAACTTTAAAACCGGACATTCATATCACACTACATTAAATAAAAAACAAATGAAGTTAAAGAAACAATGTAAAACAAATGGCAGAAAACTTCAAACTTTAACAGCTTGTGTTTTGTTCTACAAACATTTTACTTTCATTTTCTAGTAGATATGTAAAAGCTTTCTTCCTGTGTTTCCAAAATTGCAAGTTTTCTCTAGTTAATATTTTAAAGAATTGGAAAAGAAAAAAGAAAACAAAAGGGTAAATACACTAGATCTAGTCTCCGTTCCTATGACAGAAACAGTCAGGGATAAAGTGAACAAGTTATATGGTAGAGTTATACATGATGGATACCAGAAATTAGAAAATACTCTGCAAAGATAAATATCCTTCAGTTGAAATTAATTTTTATTGTGTTTAAATTTATTAGAATACTTTGAAAGGTAATACTGCTAAACATCCTGAAAGGAAATTGTGAGTTATCATATACCCATCACAAAAGATTACCAGAAACATAACATTTTTGAAATCTTCTTCCAATGCATCAGCATCTACTTTCAAGTTTACACTGTGTTACATAGTTTGAAAGGATTTCAGATTTTCTGCAAAGCAACTTTACTTACATCTAAGTACTGTTTTACTATACTCCTCTTCACTTCTTCGGTGATCTTAGAATTAGCCATATCACTCCGCAGAAAATCCAGAGTTTGTTTTGGATGGAAATGTACTCCTGTCTTCCTGTTTATAGCTTTATCATACACTTTTGCAGATTCAGATGGAGAATATTTCTGAATTTTACTGTTTAAAGAGAACAAAAGGCAAGAAAGAGCTTTTAAGCAAAGTCCAAAACAATTTCAAGGAAAAGCTTTTAAAAATATTCAATATAAGTAGTTATATTTTAACCATTCTGTATATAATAGACATCCTGGTAAGAAATAAAATCATTACTTTTTCTAAGCCAGTTTCATTACATTCAACCGATTCTATTTATGTTTTTCTCTTATACAAATCTACTGCAATTATTAACAATCGACTATACATCTCCCTCCAACTTCTTCCAAACTTAATCCTTACAAAGAACTCACTAGATAACAAGATGGCCTATTGTCTAAATATCCTTACCTATCAGAGAATCCACAGAGGTTCTTTAAATGCTGTTTCAGCATCAAAAGTAATAATATGCCTTGGGAGACATTTGCAAATTCAATTAAAGGAGCTGAATTTTCTGGTAAACATTTCATCACGGCATTTATATCATTTTCTTCATCAGAATCTGAATCAGAGTCCACTCGTTTCCGTAACCTCCGAGGCTTAGAAGCTTCCTCCTCACTTTTGCTCTCACTACCACTGTTACTGTCACTCTCAGTCTCCTCGTCTGATGAAGGCTTTCTTTCCTTTTTTTTGTCTTTCACCATAGACTGTGAGACAGAGAAGTTAACAGACATTCCAAAATTAGGGTAAGTAGCGTCATGTACATTTCTAAAAAATCATTATTTACTTAAATTAGGAAAATTTCCCTGAGCAATGTTATTAATTCATAACTTGATTTTCATAACTTTATATTCAAAGATTAAAATAATTTATGACATAAAAAAGCTGAATTCAAGGTCCCTGAAAAATTGATCCAAAGCCCACTTTTTTTGCAAGGTGGTTACAGAAAGAACTGAAGCAAGAAGTACTCCACTGGCATGTTATTCTTAAAAAGACTGCTCAAGTTTGTTATCAGAGACAGTAAAATGAAGTAAAAGCCAAATACAATAAATCAGGAAGAAAATTTAATTTTTTTTCACCTGAATATAATTTTTGCATGTTACATATATTTCCATATGTACATTGGTACAAAATAGTCCAAGCTGGTTTTAATCCTTGTCTCTGCTAAAATCCTATGACACTAATTACACTGCTGACCAGAGAGCCCCTCAAATCAGCATATACAGTATTAATAATATCCAGTTCCATTACTTGTAGAGCTACAGAATTTCATACCTGCATTATTACTGCACATAGTATGCTTTTTCATAACACAGAACTTAAGATGTCCCAAGCAGGATTTCATCCTCTACATTCTGGTCCCCCATTTAAAGAATGTGCTGTCTTTTTCTAGCAAATTAAAAATTGACTTTGGTAGGGTGAGAATTCAAAGCAGTGTTCTTTCCAGGTATCAACTCTGACTTGTACTTACTAGTCAGATTGGAAATTCTAGAAATGGATTTGTTTCCTGACAGTTTGGACCTTCTACTGTTAAAGTTGTCCAGGAAATGAAGACACTGAAGTCTTTAAGAATCACAGAATGGGTCAGGTTGGAAGTGACCACAGTGGGTCATCTGGTTCCACCTCCCTGTTTCAGTAGGGTCATCCCAGAGCACACAACACAAGATTGTTTCCAGATGGGTCTGGAATATCTCCAGCGAGGGAGACTCCACACCCTCTCTGAGCAATCTGTTCCAGTGCTTGGTCACTGCACAGAGAAGTTCTTCCTCAAGTTCAGGTGGAACCTCCTGGGCATCAGTTCCTGCCCATTCCTCTTGTACCATTGCTGGACCCCACTGAGCTGAGCCTGGTCCATTCTCTGACCCTTCCCTGCAGACACCGACAGACGTGGATGAGGTCCCCTCTCAGCTGTCTCCTCTTGAGGCTGAACAGCCCCAACTCCCTCAGCCTTTCCTCATAAGAGAGGTGCTCCAGTCCCTTAATTATCCCCATAGCCTCTGCTGGACCCACTCCAGGAGCTCCATGTCTCTCCTGTCCTAAGCATCCCAAAACTGCACACAGCACAAGAAACAAAGGCCTTTTTCTTACAGGATTGTGTATTGCTATAGCAACAGATACTATACCATTATTTGGGTTCTTATATGCTACCTTAAGAAAAGACATATTGCACACTCTTTTCTTGCAATAAATAATGTATTTAAATTCTCCTAGGTGACACACATGGCACTGCCATCAGCTACTTGACAACAAAAGAAAAAGTAAATGGGATTTTGTTATTAAAATGATGCATGCAAGTATTATTAATTCAAATTAATTCAGAAATATTAGGGAATTATATAGATTTAATATTAATATCTCAAAAATTGTCATTCATTTTTAATAACATAAGCAGCAATATAAGGAAAGTTTTTAACTAGTGTCTACCAGATACAGGTCAGAACAGAAAGGGTTGTTTTTTAACTACCAGTTACAAACTAACAATACTGGTCCATATCATAATAATGGTACTGTATTCACTGAAAAATTGACCAAATTATATAGAAGCTTATGCTGCCACCATAATAAATATACTAAAATATAAATGCACATACCTCTTTAAATGACTGTAGTAGGTTGCTACCAGAAACTGATAGTGTAATGTCTATATGATGCATTATAAACAGTGGCTCTTCCTGTGTTTGATAAGGAAAACAGGCTAGATTGTCTGCTATGTACAAGAGCATATTCACCTCTGTTTTCTGGAAGTTAAAAAAAAAGTACATATGAATATACATACAAATATCTTATTATACACTTATCCTGTGTTCCTAACAGTTTAAAACAAAAAAAAAGAAATCACAAATTTTATTCTACATTCCCCCCAAAAGCACTCTAAACAACATATATATACGTGCAAAATTTAGTCATACCTAAAGATACGTTATTTCTAAACAACCTAAACTGAGTACAGAAAGATACTGAATGATGCAAAAGTGAGTAATGCATTCTATTAGGTAAATACCTTATATTATAAAGCAAAACAAAGTACCTTAGGGAAATAAAGCTATCAGTAATTATGTAAGAAAAATATATTACAAAAGGAAAATTTAAGCTTGCAATGGTATATTTTTATTTCTTTATAAGTGAAGGAAATATGGTGCTTACTGCAGTATCATCAAAGAGGTTGAGTAAGGAAATTAGAAATGCTCGTCTGTGTTGACGGTTCCCTCGAATCATGGAGTATAGGTGTGAACACAATGCATTGGATGACTCATCATGTCTAAAACCCCTCACAGGATCCTGTGGGCAGGTATTGATTGCCTGTTGTACCTGGTAAGACATCTTCATACCAGCCACGGCTTTCATCTGAAATGGAAAAGTACTTATTTTTATTTAAATCATTGCTTTCAAGCAGTAACACTGAAAGTGGAAATTAAACAAATGCCTGACAACAGAAACTTCTAGCTATTTTTTAATCTTTTTTCTCCTTAAGTGGTTCCTCATCTGAAGTTTAACTTTTAAACACACACTGAGGTGCACTACTGCCTTTTGAGAAAGCATACAGATTTAAACAGAATTTGTGGTAGAGATCAAAATGTATTGTGAACTGCTTCTATGTTAGAAACATACAGATGATCTGTTTACCGACTACAGCCAGGTACCCAAATTTAAATAATTTTCAAGAATCATAGATTCATAGAATATCCTGAATTGGAAGAGACTCACAAGGATCATCAAGTCCACCTCCCAGCCCGGCACAGGACACCCCAACAATCCCACACTGTGCCTGAGAGTTTGTCCAAACAGTTCTTGAGCTCTGGTAGTGTTGGGGCCATGACCATTGCTCTGGGGAGCCTGTTCAGTTCCTGACCACCCTCTGGGTGAAGAACCTTTTCCTACTATCCAACTTAACCCTCCCCTGACACAGCTCCAGCTGTTTCCTTGGGTCCTGTCACCAGTCACCATAGAAGGGAGATCAGTGTTTGCCCCTCCTCTTCCCTTAATGAGGAAGTTGTAGACTGCAAAGAGGTCTCCCCTCAGTCTCCTCCAGCTGAACAGACCAAGTGCCCTTAGCTGCTCCTCATATGGCTTCCCCTCAAGGCCCTTCACCATCCTTGTGCCCTCCCTTTGGATGGTCTCTTAATAGCTTTATATCCTTATATGTGGTGACCAAAACTGCCCCCAGGACTTAAGATGAGGCTGCCCCAGTGCAGTGCAGGGCGGGACAATCCCCTCCCCCTTGACCTGCTGGTGATGCTGTGCCTGATGCACCCCAGGACATGGTTGGCCCTCCTGGCTGCCAGAGCACGGCTGACTCATATTCAACTTGTCATCGACCAGGACCCTCAGGTCCCTTCCCACAGCTGCTCTCCAGCCTCTCATTCCCCAGTCTGTCTGTACATCCACGGTTGCCCCATCCCAGGAGAAGAATCTGGCACTTGCACTCGTTAAACTTCATATGGTTGGTGACTGCCCAGTCCTCTAATTGGTCGAGGTCTTTCTGCAGGGCCTCCCTGCCTTCAGTGGAGTCAACAGTTCCTCCCAGTTTTGTATTGTCTGCAATCTTGCTCAGTATCCCTTCCAGTCCTGTGTCCAGGTCGTTAACGAAGATGTTGAAGAGCACAGGGCCAAGGATAGAGCCCTGTGGAACCCCACTAGTGACAGGCTACCAGTCTGATGTCACCCCATTCACTATAACTCTTGGTGCCCCACCTGTGAGCCAGTTGCTCACCCACTGCATGATGTGTTTATCCAGCTGGGGGCTGGACATTTTGTCCAGAAGGATCCTGGGAGAGACAGTATCGAAAGCTTTACTGAAATCCAAAAAGATGACATCAACTGGCTTCCCTTGATCAACCAGGTGGGTTACCTTGTCATAAAAGGAAATCAGGTTTGATAAGCAGGACTTTCCTCTTATGAAGCTGTGCTGGCTGTGACTGATGACTGCATTGTCTTTCAGGTGTTTTTCAATACCTCCCAGAATAATCTCCTCCATAACTCTACAAGGCACTGAAGCAAGACTGACAAGTGAGACTGGAGGCCTCCTTCTTGAAAACTGAGACAACATTCCCCAGCTTCCAGTCAGCTAGGACCTCTCCAGATTCCCAAGACCATTCATAAACCATTGAGAGAGGTTTTGTAATCACATCAGCAGCTCTGAGTAGCCTGGGATGAATCCCATCATGCCCCATAGACTTATAGGGATCCAGCTGGAACAGCAGAACCCACACATTTTCAGGGTTGACTGGGAGTTGATCATTCTCACAGTCATGGTCCTCCAGCTCAGGGCACTGGGACCCCCTTGGTCTGTCACTGGTGTTGAAAACAGAGGCAAAGAAAGCATTAAACATCTCTGTCTCATCCATGTCCCTGTTTGTGAGGTGGCCATTCTCATAATGGAATGGGCTGATGTAATTTTTGCACTGCCATTTACTACTGACATATTTAAAAAGGCTATTTTTATTGTCCCCCACAATCATGGTTTAAGCCCAGCTGGAAACTAAGCACCACGCAGCTGCTTGCTCAACTCCCTCTCTACCCCCACCCTGGTGGAATGGGAAGGACAATCAGAAGAGTAAAAGCCAGAAAACTCCTGGGTTGAGAGAAAGTCAGTTTAACAAGGAAAGCAAAAGCCGTGCACACAAGCAAAGCAAAACAAGAAATTCATTGAGCCTTTCCCAAGGGCAGGCAGGTGTTCAGCCACCTCCAGGAGAGCAGGGCCCCATCCTGTGGAACGGTGACTTGGGAAGATGAACACCATCACTCCAAATGTCCCCCCCCCTTTCTCCTTCTTCCCCCCACTTTACATACTGAGCATGATGTCCTATGGTCTGGAATATTCCTTGGGTCAGTTGGGGTCACCTGTCCAGGCTGTGTCCCCTCCCAACCTCCCATGCACCCCCAGCTCCCTCCCCAGCATACAAGGAGCAGAAAAGGCCTTGGCTCTGTGCAAGCTCAGCAATAACAAAAACATCTCTGTATTATCAACTCTGTGTTCAACACAGACCCCAACACAGCCCAATGCCAGCCTCTGGGAAGGAAATTAACTCTACCCCAGCCAAAACCAGCACAACTGTCCAGCTCCAACTCCAGTTGAGCTTTGGCCCCACAGATTTTCTCCCTACAGTTGTGAACAGCATCTCTGTATTCTTCCCATACCACCTGACCTTGCTTCTACTGGGCACACACCTTCCTTTTTTGCCTTATTTCCAAGAGAAGATTCCTGTTCAGCCAAGCTGGCCTTCTGCCTTGCCTTCCTGACTTCTGACATCTGGGAATTGCCTGCTCCTGTGCCCTTAGGAGGAGATGTTTAAAAAGTGAGCAGCCCTGATGGACCCGGCACCTGCAAAAGTATTTTCCCAGGGGACCTTACTTGATATTTCCCTGAGCAGCCTGAAGTTTGCTTTCCTCATGACTGGAGTTGAGGTTTTGCTGGCACTTTCCCTCCTGGCTACAGAGATTTTAAACTTGATTGCTCAGTGGTCACTGTGGCCAAGATGGCCGCCAATCACACCACTTCATTCACAGAATCACAGAATATGGTGAGTTGGAAGGGACTCACAAGGATCATCGAGTCCAACTCCTGGCCATGCACAGCACCATTCCCAAGAATCACACCATGTGCCAAGAGTGTTGTCCAAACACTTCTTGAACTCTGTCAGGCTTGGTGCTGTGACCAGTTCCCAGTGGAGCCTGTTCCAGTGCCCAACCAGCCTCTGGGTAAAGGACATATTCCTGATATCAAACCTAAACCTCCCCTGACACAGCTCCAGCTGTTCTCTCAAGTCCTGTCACTGGTCACAAAGAGATCAGTGTCTGCCCCTCTTCTTCCCCTCACGAGGGAGTTGTAGACTGTGATGAGGTCTGACTTCAGTTAGGTATCTCTTCGGATGCCATGAAAAGTGGAATGCTCAAATTTCAGTGGAGTACAATTAGATTTATAAAGTCCCACAATGTAGTACACACACTGAACTAAGACTGAGGCCTTCTGAAATAAGGAAGGGGTGCTGCAACTCAATTTCAGATCTTTAGCAGAACTATTGTCACCATGCCACAACTCCACAAGTCTTCACTTAGCCCTCAGATTTTCCTTTCAGCAAGATCCCTCAGTACTTAAAATCTTCCTATGTTCCTTCTGCTTAGATTACAATTTATAAAGCATTGATGTCTTAAAGTTGTAATACATATATACTGACCTCTACTTTTACAAAGTGCTCTCTCTTAATACAGGAAAATCATTGCTAAACATTATGAAACAGCTGTCCTTACCTCTTATCAAATAAATGCTCTTAACATACTATTCAGTGAGGAAAACACTACCGTGGAATATAAATTAAAGGAATTTTTAGACTGGAAGAGATGCTTCAAATTATTATATCCTTTCTATTTCTACAAACAGAAATCTCCAAACAGGGGAAAGAGTTGGGATCTTCTTTACAACTGCTTATAGTTATTGTTTATTTGTTATTTATATTATTTTTCTGCAGCTGAGGCCTATCCAAGTGTTGAGTCACCAGAGAATGTAACGGTACTTTGTAAAATGATAAATAAGAATTACTTACGTGAATGAACCCAGCATACTTTTTGTCTATTTCCACCAATTGCTGGTCAGCTTTGTTTCGCATAGAGGGCTCTGGATCTGTGCCCATAGCAATTAAGTACGGCACACACTTGAAAAAAGCCAAATGAAATTATTATTTAGTCATTGTATCTCGTCTTTCTCACTCTTTGCTCTTTTATTACAGTATTGTTTATGTTATATTCTGACTACTGCAGAAACTAGAATAGGAAGCTTTATGCAACTTACTACCTGACTACTTTTTTCAAGCAAATAGTACAAAATACACAAAAGACCAGTGTTATCACAGAATCATAGAATAGTTTGGGTTGGAAGGGACCTTAAAGGTCATCTAGTTCCAACCCTCTGCCATGGGCAGGGACACCTTCCACTAGACCAGGTTGTTCCAAGTCCCATCCAACCTGGCCTTGAACGCTTTCAGGAATGGGGCAGCCACATCTTCTCTGGGCAACCTGTGCCAGGGCCTCACCATCCTCATAGGGAAGAATTTCTTCCTAATATCTAATCTAATCCTACTCCCTGTGAGTTTGAAGCCGTTCCCCCTCATCCTTTTACTACATGCTCTTGTAAAAAGTCCCTCTCCATCTTTCTTGTCGGCTCCCTTCAGGTCCTGGAAGTTCACAGTTAGGTCACCCCAAAGCTTCTCTTCTCCAGGCTGAACAATCCCAATTCTATCAGCCTTTCCTCATAGCAGAGGTGCTCCTGCCCTCTAATCATCTTGGTGGTCTCTTCTGGACTTGCTCCAACAGGTCCATGTCCTTTCTCTGCTGGGGACCCCAGAGCTGGAGGCAGCACTGCAGGTGGGGTCTCACCAGAGCAGAGGGGCAGAATCCCCTCCTCCTCTGCTCCCCACACTGTGGGATCAGTCCAGCCCACAGGGGGTTTTTGGGTGCCAGCGCACACGGATGGGGCATGTTCAGCCTCTCACCAACCAGCACCCCCAAGTCTCTCTCCCCAGGGCTGCTTTTGATCTGTTCGTCCCTCAGCCTGGACTGATCCTGGGGATTGCCTGACCAAGGTGCAGCACCAGCACTTGGTCTTGTTAAACCTCATGAGATTTCAATGGGCCACTTCTTGAGCTTGTCCAGATCCCTCTGGATGGCCCTGTCCTTCAGGTGTGTCACCTCCACTACTCAGCTTCATGTCATCTGCAAACCTGCTGAGGGTACTGTCAATCCCTTTGTATGTGTCATTAATGAATATATTAAATAACACTGGTCCCAATATAGACCCCTGAGGGACACCACTGGTCACTCATATCCATTGAGACTCGAAGGCATTATAAATGACAGAAGTTGTGTGAAGTTTCAGGTAGTATTTCCAGTTCTCTCAAACTCTAAAGTCAATTTACACTACAAAAAATGCCATTTAAAAAAACCCAAACCACACACCACCAGTTATGACTGAACATGCACAATGGTTGTGTTATAAACAAATAATTACAAAAATATTATGTAAGCAAAGAATAATGGTGATGATAACTGAAGTTCTGACATTGACTCTGGAATTCCATAATGTTTGGAGGACATGGGAATTGAGGTGGAGACAAGCTGTCACAGTTTTCAGGATAAAGAATTAAAGAAAAGAGCTTGGCATACACGTGAAATTCATAACAGAAATATGCTCCAATGTACATTTGCACGTGCACTTTAGGCACTGGCTGGGCTTTTAGATCTTGATCCAAAGACAAGAAAATACAGCATTTGGAATCTAAATTTCAAAATATGCTTTCTGTAAAGGCCCCTTGCTACAATAAGAGATTACTGTAACATAGCTGCAAGAGAAAAACTAAACATGTGTCTAGCAAGCATAAAAAATTCTGAAACCTGAAGACCAAAAAAAAAACCCCACATCATAAAAGGTTACCATACCTGAACAGGATGGATGAGACCCTGGTTTAATGTGAGTGCAATGACATTTAGAGCAAAGTGGCGTACACTGGACTGGTTATGAAAGAAAGCCTCAAGGACCTGTTTGAGATATAGCTGCATGATGGAACTACTCATCCCTGAGGAAATATCACCCATTTCTTTCAGGTCTTCCTGTTTTGCTACTTTTTTCCCTGTAAAAAGGATGGAAACAATAGCACACTCACCACAGTATAATCATTTACTTTGCTATTATTTGATGCATACTTATCTTTGAGCTTTATAATACAAAGACATTTCAACCATCTTAGAATAGGTTTATGATCTCATGAAACATAAAGCAGTCTGACAGCAAACATAATTAAAAAATTAAAGTCACACAAATTTAAAGTCTCATCCCTCGATAAAGGTTTTATTTTTCACAATTTCTTATTTTGTATCTGCTAATTAACCTTAGAGAATATTTTGATAAAAAGTATTAATACTATCATTACAGCAATTATGCATTCTGGATTGCTTTCAGGATTTATACATCCTGAAAGTAAATAATAAGCTACATGTCTTAATATACCTATGCACATAATGAATTTTTGAAAATTATTCTAAGATATCTTGTGTACAATATTAATAATTAGATAACAATCTTAAATTACTCAGTTCATGTATATAGTAATTGTATGCAAGAAAGTTAGATTTTGCCTGCCTCAGCACAGAAGAACTCAGCACTTACAGTCTCTGTCTGCCTGCTGCATACGTGTATCCTCCTCCTGCAAGTAGGTCTGAAGGTTTTTTAACACCTGGATTTTTAAATTTACTGAACAGTTCTTGTCTGAAAGAATGCTGTTGTACAGGGTCTTCACTTCCTGTTCAAACATTAAACTTGGGTGTTGTATAAATGCAAATCCTAAGGGTGGAAGAAAAGAGGAAATATTCCATGTTATTAACTAGAAATTGTATTTCTGCTTCTTAAGTCTTTCTTCAAAATAGAGGTATGACATTTATCTCCTCCCAAGTGTAGTGCTAACAAAAAATATTGCTTTTTCATATGGACACCATTCTAAGTTTGTAATGAGTTCTATTATCTGTCTGATAGATAAAGATGGGGTCCCTACCCAGGGCAGTTGAACTAAGAGCTACATAGGTCTGGAAGCATGTTCAGTGTACTGGTCTGCATCTCAATGACTAAGAGGTCTCCCAAGAGCAAGGGAGGAACATTGCTAAAAAATTACTCATTGTTTTTCTAACACATTTGGAGAAAAACATTGTGCTGAAGCTATGAAGAGTTATTCATATGGAGACAGGGAAAATGTGGAAAAAATGCTAAATATCCTGGGTATTTAAACAATAAAATCTTAAAAGAAAAAATATAGCAAACACAATAAAATAAAATTTAGACCTCTGTTATTATTCATATACCTATTAAGGTCGTGTCTTGAAAATTACCCAAAGCATTCCCAAGACTACATCTGTTAGAAGATACACACTATAGAACTGCTTTTAGCTGCAGCCTTACCCTTGACAAAGAACTGGTTATTTTTAGCCAGGGAAGTCTTTATTTCATAAAAAGTTTGATCTAAATAAGTAACAGCATATATAATTTTAGATCACATATGTAGATTTAGGATTTCTGCCAACAGACTCTTACAGAGTATCATAAAAAAACAGTAATGGGAACATAACTTCCCAATTTAAACTATATTTAACTACTTGATTAATTTTTTAAGACTGTGAGAAAAGCAAACATTAAGTGCATTTTTCACGACCATAGGAAACTAAGACTCTGAATGAACACACAGAAAACATAAACATAAAAGAAGAATGGGGGAAAAAATGAAAGCAAATAAAATTATGTGAAAGCAATGTATAAAAGTGGGTGTAACAAAGGGAAGACTGAGTCAGGTTTTTAAAACTGGCTCTGTGCACACAGAAAAGAGTGTAGGTAAAGGCTAAGTCTAGGGCAAGACCTAAGTTCATTTAATATCTCATTTCAATTTCAAAACAGGAAAAGGAAAGAATTCAGGGGAGATAGAGGGGAAAGAGGTGAAAGAAAAAGGAATGATGCTCCTCTTTGAAGTAGGTAGTATAATTGTCCACTCTATATAGGTATATATTGATAACTTGACCACCTCTGAGAAAGTCCAACCCATTTCTTAAGTTTAATTTTGAAAATGAAAAGCACTTGCATGTATGTGTAACAATCTATAACTCTCTTTCTTTCATTTGCTTATTTAAAAGAATCTAAAACCACCAGTACTCTTAGGGAAATTATTATTTTTCCATCCCCTGTAAGCAGGGAAGAAATTTTACTTGACATAAAAATTTGTCACAGGGGATGAAAAAAGGCAACTGCTGTGTTCAATTGAGGACTGACTTCACATCTTGGGGCTGCTCTCACACCACTTCTCTTCATACCTTTGTTTTCACTCTGTTAAGGTTAAGCACTGAATTTGGCTGAGTAAGACATTACCAGTTAGATACTAACAAAATTTTTTATCCTCAATCTGCCTTGCAAGTACACATCTGGAAGAGAAGCATAACCATAACGCTTATGGTTAAACTCAATCTCTCAACAGCAGTGACACATCCCAAAGCAAAGGTTAAAACTGTTGAGTGTCCTTACTGTAAGGACGCACTAATAATTACCAAAAGGAAAGTACACACTCTTCATTTGATGTCTTCAGTGTGTATAAATTTTGAATTAGCTTGTTAGTAATTTTCACCTTATTGCTGCACATAAATGTTGAATGTATTTGACAACTTGACTCAATATTACCAGCCTGTAAAACAGAGCTTTGCACTGCCTACTACATCTCTGTACACCCAAGCAGCTACCTTCAAAGTGGAACCAGTACTTAGATGAGACTAATATATCACTGAAAACAGTTGTCTGAGGTTTAATTAAGATAAAGACTGACATGTTTACAGGCAGAGAAAAAAGAATAAAAAAATCTGAGGCATGCCTACTGATAATCACTCCTGTTTTCTCCTCTTCCCCAAACTGATCACAGTTCAGTTTGTAATTCAGGAACATTTCCAATGAATACAACACTCAGCCTCCATGAGTAAAGCAATCATGTCTACGGTTAGGAAGGCAGCCCCTATCCCATGTGCAATATTTTGTATAGAACAATTAAATGAGAATGGACTACAGTAAGTGTTGTGCATCTTGATACAATGCCTAGAAAAACCTCCAGCTAGTTGTTAGCACTATAGCGCTGTTCCTGCAACAGAGGCAACTTAAAGCCATTAATCCCACTGAGCTGTCTGCAATAGTTTCCTCACAGAATATCAAATGAAGATTCAGTCTCAATCCTTATCCTCAGTCCTGCCTAACCTGAACTGTACCAGGATATCTAAAAAGCCACCTAAACAGCAGCATAAGGAGGAAAATTCTTATACACAGTTAAACCATACAATGCAAGCTCACACACATAGGAGACAACTTTCTTTAGACTAAGCCATAACCATGAACTGAACTCTTCCAGAAACCAAGGCCTATCTGTCCAAACAAGATGCTCTTACATGTACAGTTTTGGTCCTTGAGGAGAGGATGAACATGATACAAATCACTCAATAGCAGTTCATGCATTACTGCAAGTCACCAAGATACTATACTAATGCCTTCAGACAAATAATCTATTTAAAACTGAAATACTGCCAAAGACCCAAAATAAGCTGTAATATTTAGACTATGGCATAATCTCAATGCCTCATGAAATTTCACAGAGCATCTCTCAGTTGGGATAAACTGCCAGAGTTCCCTCAATTTCTGTGGAATTTCTGCCCCTACACTTAAAATTCTCAAAGTTTTTCCATCATTTTTCCTAGTTATTCTTTAACCATACCTTGAGGACTGAAAAACAATATTTGGAGTTACAACATATTTGCATGCAGGAAAAAAACCCTCATCTCCATTTACTTTGGAAACTTGATGCTTTTTAAGACTTGGTCATCCATCAAAAAGGTATTCACTGTCAAAAGCATCCACTCTGCAGCAGAAGTATGCAACTTCCAAGTATCCCTTTGACTACATTTCTATAGCCAGGTCTCAAATAAAACATATGGTGAACTTTGATTTTAAACAAACTTCCCTGCCACTACACAAATAAATGCATGGATTTTTACTAGAGCAGAATACTAAAAACTATTAATATTTCTTACCAAGGCCAATAATGGCTTTTGTCTGTACTTCTTCATCTGAATGCTTTGTAAAATACATCAGCAGTTCAAGTACTTTATCCTTAATGTTAACCTGAGGAAGTTAAAACACAAATAATAGTTATTTGAAGATGAAACAGATATTTTCTATCTCTTATAACAACCATATGTATCAAAATGGAGAAACACAATCTTACTGCATTGTCTTTGCAAAGCCATGTATTTACAACCCAAAAAATGATATCATATGTATTATGAAGAAATGCATAGCTTTGAGGGCCTAGGAATACTGTGTTCTCAAACTGAAGTGGAGCATTCAATATACACAAGACGTGGAGAATAAATACAAGTTATTTTACCTTACTGTTGCCCTTAAAATCTTCCTGATCAAAATCAAAATGCCGACACAGTGCTCCAACAGTGAAAAGTGATCTAAGGAGTGCTGGTTTATTGGCTGTAAGTATTGTACTGTTGGCGTCTTCTTGGTGTTGACTCTTTAATTTTGAAAGTGCACCTACAGTAAGATAAAAGTTTTGATCACAGTATTTAATCATGGTGTACCCCTAAAATAAGACTTGTAGGCGAAACTGAAGTGACATGTACATGTTGTGATTTTACTTACCATAGTATCTATTAAAACAGGCCCACACAAATTTATAGTTCTGAGTGACCTTGTTCACAACAGCCCCAAGACAGCTCACACAATGCTGAACAACCTAGGTGCAAGAAAGAACAAATGAATTATATATTTTGAATTTAAACCTGAGACTTTTGTGATGTTATGCAGGGAAAAGGTATGTAGAACTAAAAGTAACTATCTAACAGATGTAATGTCCATCTCCTAGACTGCTCTGAAAACATGCCCAAACTTATAATTGTTAAAATATAGCAACAACAGATACAAACACAAGTAAACCAAGAACATTGATATTTCATGGCTCAAAAGTTATCTTCATAATGAAGACAGACTTTCCTTAAACCAAAATTATGTATTTCACAATGTGAAATGGAATTAACCAAATAGTAGCAATTAAAAGCTTACTGTCATGCCATATTTGATGATGAGTTTCATGAGGTCTTCCTCAATAGTGGCAAGAAATGTCTCACTTGGGTGTTCCATTAGTGGCACTACAAGTTCTAAGATTTTTGCAACATTGCAGATCACCATGAAATCATTCTGGGTCTGAAACAACAGCATTTATAGCATTTAACATTTCTGGCTGTGTTACCTCTAAGTATTATTAATATGTATTATGCAATACATATATAATACATATTAATATAATACAATTACATAATAGTATGATACAATTATGTATCTTATGCAAGTTATTTGGTAAAGATTTAAAATAATATATAGTTTACATCTGCTTTTAAGTTACATATTATTTTGAAAGCAAGTTCTTGTTTTATACAGAACTTCTGTTAAAAAAAAAATCAGTAGAAGCAGAATTCACCTGTCATCAAGGCTGTGACAGACCTGAAAACTTTTGGTCATGAAAATTTTTTGGAGTCTTAAAACAAATTTAGGAACTCTTCCTGACACATGCACAGTACAGAATGCACAACACCTGGCAACAGGTATTGCCAGCAAGTAAATAATCAGATAACCTTTTCCTATACTGTTTGATCAGAAGCAGCTCTACGTCTGTTGTAGATATGCCTAGAGAATGCTCTAGGGCTGAAACTGTAAAATTCTAGGCTATACCTGCAAGCTAAGCTGTTAACAAGCATTCTCAGGCCTGCTCTTCCCTGGGCAGCTGACCTAAGGTAATGGATTGCTGCCCCCCACTCAGTCAAGCTCTTCTTTGAGCCATGGCTGCATGATCCTCCTCTGCTCCTGCCAGATGATGGGTTCATCACAACTTTCACTGAGCCAACTGTGCTAATCAAAATGGAGAAAGCAATGCAGTGTTTCAGAGGAGGGGGCCATTTTCCTGGACTGGGGGGATTCAGCACTGTAGCTCTCTATCATTTCTGTGAGCTAAACTGTCTTACAGAGAAATAGAAAAACACCAGAGCTAGGGTAAAGAGAGGATAGAGCAGGAAGAGGATAGAGCAGGACATTTTCCTTCTAATATTTATGCTATATGTTAGATCACTCTATCTTATGGAACCATACCTTTAGTCTTAAGATTAATTTATTAAATCTTAACTACTTTTAAAACTGTGACTATAAAATAAAGCAATTTAAAGAAATTATTTCATAACAGGTGGAAAACTGTGTTTTAGTCTTTAAGGGAAAGAAGCACAGGTTTCAGTTTCATTTGAGTGTAAAATGTGAAGGCAGAGGGTGAGGAACAGCATCTTGGAAGTTATAAAGATCATAAAAGGACCTAATATCTTTACAAGATATGATCATGAATCATAGAAACATAATTTTTATTTCTCTTTTCCTACCTTCAATTTCATCAAGCATACAAGACAGCCATTAATTTCCATGCTTAATTATCTGGGCAAAAGAAAAGACTGATTTTCTAATTTTCTCTACTTACACTACATTTAGTGGTCAGGTATGGCTGCATGGTCATGGCATGTTTGACCATTAGCTGAGGCCTGATTTTGCTGAATAAGAACAAAGTGGTTATGCAAGCAACCAAGCGACCAGAATTCACACTTTTGTTGTCAGAATCTGCAAAAAAATTAGAAAATACACAAAGTAATGTTTGAGCAACGAAAAACATATAGCCAAAGTATCATATGAATATCTCTTTCATAACATAGCTTTCAAGATCAATACAGAATATTCTTATTAGATTAGAGATGAGAACATAATGTGCTAACATTTGTATGTGATCACAACATATGTAAAATAAGCAAAGATACTTCAAAGATATCACTGGTTTTTAACCTAATTACTGTACACAGAACACTGACCTAGCCAATGATTCCTATTATAACTGTAGAACGTATTAATACAAATAAAGCTTGACACATTTGTTTTGTTTTTAGTGATCTAAAAGTCTGAACAAGTTATTTTAAAATTAGCTCTGTTATTGTGATTAGGTAGAAAAAATTAGGGAAGCTTTATTATTACACAGTGCTCCAAGGTTCACAATCAAAATAAATGCAATAACTCATTACCATCAGTTTTGTAATAGGAATTCTGTAACAGTAACTTTACACAATAGTAATTTGAACCACCACTGTTACAGTATCATAAAATTCAAAGAAGCTACTGGGTTGTAAACACTATTACCTGACAAGGATTCCTCATATTTAAGAATGTGCTCAACCAAATTGTCAACAAGTTGAGTACAGGCTTTCTTCACAGGTTTATATGAGGCATCCTCTTCTGACTTCAACAGCTGCAGCAGATGAAACAGAAAATGGTTTAGTGTTAAAGCTGCATTCATTTGCATAGAATATATGCTGCTTTTATAACAATTACTACAGAAACACAAGGATTTTAGACTACAGAAGTATTTAATTCTCCATTAAACTTATACGGTGAAGAAAAAATTACAGGAAGTAAAAAAGCAATATAAGTAAAGAAAAAGTAACTGTAATAAAAATCCATAATAGTTCTCCTTATTTTTTGCATCGGGATGAAAGCTGCTGTATGTTTAATGAAATTATGCAGAAACTAGCAGGAGTTAGAAGATTTTTAAAATCTTAGAGAAATAAAGTGCAAATTCAAAACAAATGTTTTTGACACTAAGCTAAAATAGCAAATGAGAATCTAACATAGCTGTATATCAACACTTTATTTAAACTTTTTACATATGAGTTTGGCTATTAAAATTGTGTCCATGAAGATTCTTCTAGTATCTAAGAAGGACTGAGACCATATTACATCCTTTTCCTCAGAGAAGAGGCTCTTATTGAAGAGGCTTTGATTTACTTGATAACCTATTTTCATGACACTCCAGGTAAGAGAGGAATCAAAGGATTTTCTTGCTTGAAAATTAACCACTGCATACAAGATGTAGAGAATGATAACACAGGTTAAGAGATATGAAAAAACCAAGCTCAATTCTTAGAAATATTGGTATTGGATATGAGTAGAATATAATGCAGAATTAACTTATACTCTGAAGATTCACTGCTTCCATAAATTGTGTAGAAAATACATTGGATATGAAAATACACTTATCTTCTGTTTAAAAAAACCTGACATCACTAGATACTTAATTCTGAAATAAGGTATCTTAGCTGTGGACTTTGTTATGTGAGTCATTACTGAAGAACTAACGAAATTAAACAAACAAATCATACTTCTCCCAAAACCAAGAAGTGAAGCATTTTTAAGAGATCACTTGCAAAGACAGAAACGAATGCCAAAGAAGGACAGAAAAAAAGGTCAGATGTTAAAGAGCAGGAATTGAATTTGTCTATTGTAGGACTGCTCTTGGTGTTCCCATTCTATGTGTTTTAGAAGCAAAAGGAACACTAAAATTTGAACAATGACTGTACTATATATTCAAAATTCATTACTTACATTTTGATTATATATATATATGCATGTACATATTTTTATATAAACAAACTAAGCCTTCACTGGTATCATGTGTCAGGAACAGCTCAGAGATGTTCCAAAAAAGAACTGAGAATTAAACTGAAGTCAAATAAACTGACTGGTCATTCTGGAAAAACGCACAATACACTACAATTTAGTAAAAATATTAAAAAGCAGTTTAAACTAATATTTTTAAGTAATGAGAAGAGTACTTTTATTTGATATTTACATCTTGGTATAATTGATATTAAAATACCTTTTCAGTACAGTGGCTTTACCAATACGTTTTCACTACAAATGTAAAAGCATTTTATTTGAAACAGATTTTTGAGACATACAATTTAATTTGCTTCTCCTAAAAAGTAGATAACATTATGCAGATACTAGTTTACCTTGGGTGAGAACATGACCTTGCATTTGTTGAAACAGCTTGATAACCTTTCAAAAGAAATGCTATCAATTGCGGAAATTTTTCTTTTAAGACACAACTTCTTAGTTAGGCTTAATTATATGCTGCTACTAGCATTTCCTGGAAAATGTTAAATATAACAGAAACTCTTGGTGTTTTAACTGAACAAGTATTTTCCACAACCTGAATATAATGTGGTCTCAGTTATCACTGCCAGTAATTAGTGAGCATTTAAAGTTTCTTATAGCCTGTTCCATCAGATTAATAATTCTAGCATGTATTCTATGTCAGGAGACATATAAATACATTGATCTGATAATTAAATTACTTGTGTATTTCTAAAATACTACAGACAATATTCCAAAGATACTAAAAACATAATGAAATTTTACATGCAACTTAATTAAAATTTGTTTAACATACCACATCAGTGATGTTTAGTATTTTCCTAGTCATTGCTTCTTTGTCATGATGTAGAGTTGGAGTGAACCAGAGCTTCTGGAATGTCTCATTTACTAATTTCTGAAGGAAAAAAAAATTAGCAGAAATAAATAATTTTATCTTGGCACATAGGTATTATTGCTAATACATCCGTACAATAATTTTTTTTACAATATGTGCACTTCCGTAAGGAATTATTCAACCTACATTATACTGTTGTAGAGAATGTTATCTGAGATAGACCCAGATTACTATTACAGCAGTTATACTGGTCTCTAAGCAAACTTCACAAAAATGATCACTTGGAAAGTGATGCTACACGAAATAGTTACCATTTTCCTGCACTAATCTGCATTACTCAGGAAAGCATAGTAGGCCTGAGAAACTGACAACTGAACACAAGACTACAATTTCTACAGCAGAATTAGCAGTAATTGTAGATTACTTTGGCATTTTCAGAACAGCTGTGACAAGGCAAAGAAGAGAGACAAGTCAAGTCTCTCTACCCAAACACAGGAAGTTGGTTCCCTTACAATGTTTTTGTATAGAGGAAAAGATGGAATAGAATGAAAGTGAACTATTCCCAAATTACTTATAAAGCATATGCTTGTAGGAAGAATTCATCATCCATGGAGATGTAAAAAAACACATTGCAGGGACTGCCTCATCTTTATGAGGTTGTTGGAAAGGCAAGGGAAAGGTCATCCTCCTTTCCTAGCAGCACCTTAGATCCAGCTGTTCATCTACTTCTTGATTAAGTCTGCCCTGAAAGCCACTTGGCATTAACATATCCCAAGTGGTAAAATTATATGGTGCAGCTTTAAAGTTCCAGACTTCAAATCCCACTGGAAGTGTGATACAAAATTATTACAGGTGCATCCTTAATTATCCAACAATTTTAAAATCATTTTTGCCAAATCAAACAAAAAACATCAGTGTCAGGTTTATGATTCAACACATAATCTTAGGTTTTTACCCTTCTGCATATACATCACACAAAGATAAGAATATGATGACATAAGTAACATTTTAGGGGGAATAACTGATTCATTAAACATTCAGAATTAATGCAAAATTTTCACAAATTATTACTTCATATTTTTTATACGCAGAACTTATAAATCTGGTATATAGTAACATCAAGTACTTAATTTTGACAAAGTTTATTTTGTTTTCAGAAAGGAATTTTATATACTAATTTTACTTCTTAGAAAAGAGAAGTATCAGAGACAATACTTGCAAAGAGAAAAAAACCCAAAACTCTAGATAACAACTTTTTAAAATCCTTTGATTGTCAGCAAGAACTTGAAGAAAATAGAAAAAAGAAAAGAAAACCAAGTCAGACAGCAATGTAGAAAGCTATTTGCTCTTAAAAATTAAAAATAAAAAAAAATTACAAAGAAGCAATGAAATACTTTTTTTATTACTTTTGCGTCAAAATATAGAAACCAATTATGATAATTTAAATCCTGAAGGATATGTTTCATTCTACCTTAATGCCTTCTTCATCATTGACTCTCCGAATCATTTTTACACACATCTCAGTAATTTTGGGAAATGTTGGTTGTTCAATGCAGATATCCCTAAGTATTTTTATGACTCTTTTTCTGACACTGATACCAGTATCCTGTGAGGAGAAAAACATTATGCTCTTGAAAAGAAATCAGACATATTAATAATGTATTATATAAATTATATTTGAAGATCACACAATCTGACCTGAAAAATGCATTCAGAAAACACAGCTAAAATATTCTGGAGTATATTTATACGAAAGGTCAGCATAACTTTATTTGCAACAGTTCTAAAGTTTTGGGCTGAGTCCTCTAAACATTGAAACACTTCCTCCATTTATATCATCCCAATTAGGAACTCATGATGTTGCAAATGTATAATGCAACTTCTTAATTCAAGATCTTGCAAGCTAGATGCGCTGATGCTTTAGCTACTACTTATGAACTATTTATGTAATACTTCAAAATCCTTTGAATAAAGCTTATGGATGATATGTGCAGCAAATATTTTCCATTTTCCTAGGCTTCATCTCAGGAGAAGGATGAGTAGCTTCATTTCATATTGCTTAATTCAAAATATGTTTAATCTAAATGCCAGGATGAGTACCTTTATGCGTGCTCATGTGGACATTTCCAAAACACTTTAAAAACATGTTTTATCATGTAACTATAGCAAATGAGTAGTATTTGACTAAAAACCTAACATGAATGCTAAAAGCTAGTGTTTTCTTAAAGTTAAATTAACACTGTATTTTATCTGATCATCCAGGCAAAACCCACTTTTTATAAAAAACTCTAATAAAAAGCCTTTCAAAGCACTAAAACATAGCATAAAAAACCAAAGTAGTTTTATCTTTTATTTTCTTTTGGATTACAAATGACAACTTTAAATTAATATGTTATAGACTCTTTTCATCATCCACACTGCTGAACTGATCTCAATAACCCATATCTGAGACTTCAGAGATGTGGCAAAATTCCTCATTTCATTTAATCTGTGCCTCAATAAAGGAACGAAAAAGAATATAATTCTGGTTCTGTTGCAGTACAACTTTCTATGTATATTTACTTATTGATGTATATGCTGGTTTTGGCTGGGGTAGAGTTAATTTCCTTCCCAGAGGCTGGCATTGGGCTGTGTTGGGGTCTGTGTTGAACACAGAGTTGATAATACAGAGATGTTTTTGTTATTGCTGAGCTTGCACAGAGCCAAGGCCTTTTCTGCTCCTTGTATGCTGGGGAGGGAGCTGGGGGTGCATGGGAGGTTGGGAGGGGACACAGCCTGGACAGGTGACCCCAACTGACCCAAGGAATATTCCAGACCATAGGACATCATGCTCAGTATGTAAAGTGGGGGGAAGAAGGAGAAAGGGGGGGGGACATTTGGAGTGATGGTGTTCATCTTCCCAAGTCACCGTTCCACAGGATGGGGCCCTGCTCTCCTGGAGGTGGCTGAACACCTGCCTGCCCTTGGGAAAGGCTCAATGAATTTCTTGTTTTGCTTTGCTTGTGTGCACGGCTTTTGCTTTCCTTGTTAAACTGACTTTCTCTCACCCCCGGAGTTTTCTGGCTTTTACCCTTCTGATTCTCTCCCCAGTCCTGATGGTGGGGTTGTGAGCGAGCAGTTGCGTGGGGCTTGGCTTCTGGCTGGGGTGAAACCACAACAATGTAACAAAGCCTCACTGAAAAGCAATGCATTTTAGAAGGTTGGTCTTAAATCATGATGCTCCCTATTAAAATAACATACATAGAACATACTCTTGGAATCATCATTCCATATTATTAACCATCTAAACTCAGTTGAAAACAAATTTTACAATGACACATCATAAATAAGTCACCGTACCAATATTCTTTCAATCAGCATATCATAATACTGCTCAGCAAGCTGAGGACGACAGAGCACAAATCGGCCAAGAAGCTCCACAGCTGCTTCTCTTACACTAGTGGAGTTATCCATTAGCCGCCCATGAACTCCTCGTTGCATATCCAGCTAAAAAGGAACAAATAAAACACAAATCCAAAATAAGAATTAAAGATTTCTTTTAAGTGTGACAGAAAAATGCATATACGTGACGGATATTTCAGATTTTTTTACCCTGGCTAGAATACTGGGGTCTACAGCAACAACCTCAGAGAGACACTTCATGGCTTTTGTTCGAACAGCAATTGCATTTTCACCAAGTACACGCAGAATCTAATAAAAGAACAAAAACAAAGATTTGCTTTGGGAAGGTAGCAAACTGTTTAACAGGCAACAATGCAGCAGAACAACATGCAAATTAAGTAACTAAAATAAGAAATCCCTTCATTTTAAACTCTACTTTTGCCATTCACTTGTGCCTTTCATCATGGTTCTTTCAGTGGAAGAGGTGGATTTGGGCACTATCCTTTTAAGAATGGCTCTATATGCAGATCACTGTAAGTAACAGAACCTAAACTAAGCTAAACCAAACCAGTACCAGAGTCCAAACATGTTGCCATGACAACATGTTAGTGCTCTTCTCCCAGAAAAAGGAAAGAAAACACAATGAGGTTAAACAGCTTCCAAAGTGACAGTAACATGCACTGCAAGCAAGTAGCTAAGCTGGCTTGTATTTTCAAATTAAGATCAATTTAATGAGTTAATATCACCAGTTAATACCAGAGCATGCATCTGGCAGAAACTGTAAGAGATTTCAACATTTTGCAATTATTTTTTTACTGTGTACATCTATGATATTGATTTTGCCCTCTACACCCATTAACAAATATAATAATGCATGTACAATATGACATATAAAATGAATGCAAGAAAAAGAAATATAAGCACTTATGTCATTAATACAGAAAGCACATGGTGTTATTGTGGCCTGTTAAATACCCATGCTGAACAATGAACAGATATGGTACACTCCCACAAAAGTGTTTGGAATCAGAAACCAACTGATTTCAGTGTACTAAGACTTCCAGCACAGTTTACCTGTGTCAAATAAATATCAAAGCTCTGGGCAAATGGCCTCATAGAGGCCAAGTAGCGAACAATCAAACATGCATCTTCATAGTCCACAGTATCAGAATTCATCCTGAAATAAAGTCCACATGTTAATCAGGACATGTTCACAAAAAAATTACTTAAAACATCAAATGCATGGCTAATGAAGAAGAAAGTTGTACTGACATGCATCTTCATAGTCCACAGTATCAGAATTCATCCTGCAACAAATTCAAAGTTTTAATTAGGACATGTTTATCAAAAATTATTAAAAATGTCAAATGCATGGTTAATAAAGCACTGGTGCTCAAACGTACTTTAATGTACTGAACTGAGATGGAGCAGTTTTAATGATGCTGCGAAGAAACTTTTTGCGACTTTCCGCTCTATGCATGATTTGTCCTGTGGTCTCAACATCTTTTGCATGATGAGTTCCTTCAGATGAATCCTCATCCTTCTGAGATTTAATTGCTTTCTCTGTCTCCATAGTTGTATCACGGAACCACTGAGCTATATAAAACTTCCGAGAAAACTGGAGAAATACAGCAGGATATACAAAAACCAAAAACAACAGATGTAGAAGAGGGAAATTAACAGATATATGAGATTAAGTGAGTTTAATGCATCAACCATATTTCAGAAAACACAATCAACATTATACGTTAGGGTGACAATTTAATCGAATCTCTAATATGCATGAAGAAAAATAGTTTTATTCAGTGCATGTTACTGAAATTATTTTTATATAAATTTGACATCAGAAAGCTGAAATTTACCACTAATGATGCATCAATTTCTGTGTTCTCATCCAGATAATCTAGTAAAGCCTTTTGCAGCTGTTGAATTTCATCTTCTCCTCCTGAAACCTATTGGAAATAGAAAGATAGTTTTAAAATAGAATATTGCACAGTGGTAATTGTCATCTGAAAATCTGTATGTCCACATATAAAATACACTGAAATTAATGTTCTGCAATTATCAATATAACTAACAATTTTTTAATCAATTACTTCTAAACTTTATAGAGACTAAACCAAATTAGACTGTAGCTCCAAAGTCAAAAAAAGATTAACAGCAGAATAAGACTTGGTTTAAAACAGACTGACTGATTTGATTAATTTTCATTTTATGATCTTGTGTGAAGACCCTCTGTTCCCAAGGAAAAACAAAGGGCTGAAATCACACATAGTAGACTGAAAAAATATTTAACCTATAAAAGGCATCATTAGCTCTCTCAACAATATTAAACACTGAAATAATGACTTTACAGGTGAACAAGGGATAAAAGGCAAAAAAGTCAAATGAACATAAATATGAAACACAGACAACAGTAAAAACATATGGGAAGTGTCAAAGAAATAAAAATAACTTATCCCTCTGCAAAATATTTGGTATAACTGTTTTCAGGTTTAAAGCATTGATACAGAGAAAGTGTAGCAAGTATGCTCAATTCATTTAGCAAAGAATTTACAGAGGTTATTCCCAAACACCCCTGAACTCTAAAGAATCATACTCTCTGAGACTCAATTTAGTTTCTATCAGGTCAAAAACCTTGAGAACAAAGATACATTTTATAAAAATTCCACTTAGTGCATAAATTCTATCTACAGAATAGGGTAATATTAGTTTTCCTGTGAAGCACTTTTAAGACGCACAAAAAGGACTACATATGAAATATTATTCTGAGAACTATGCATCAGATTTGTAAATATCTAAAATGTACGAATGTTAAAACCAGAATATTTTTTTACAAGAGGCTATTTTATAGGAAATATGTATATCCTGATCTCTTAAATAATTCTAGCCTATGTAAATTGAACAGTGATTTTGTATATGACCATCAGACAATGTACTTTTCCCCATGTAGGAGTTAGAGATCAAATCAGTATCAATGAACTTGTTAATGAATCAGAAACTTACTTTCTCAACACCTACAAGACAGCATAAACCCAAAACCATAAAACACTCTTTTTTCCTTAGTATTATACTGAAATGTGCAGGTCCTTGCAATTGCTGATGCTACAGCAGAAAAAAGGGGGTTTTTCCCCCTCAAATTAATGAGTTCAAGAATTCAAAAGACGTCCACAGTAGACATAATACTAATGTAGGTTTATTAATTTATATTTGGTACCCTATGATGTGCAAATTGTGATTGGAAAGTTTGGCCTTCAACCAATGTAAAATTCTGTGGATAAAAAGGCTGAAAAAGTTGCTTGATGAACCTTAATTGCCTAACTATTTTAAAAGGAAAAAACCCAGAACAAACAGAAAGAAACTGTGAATCCCACAACAAATCATATTCAATATTAATAATAAAAGTAGAAGAATAATTTCTGGCTTAAACTTCTTCAGCTACAAAACATTTATCTTCTTCAGCAATAAAACCTGTAACTTAGAACCATCAACTTCTGTATGAACAGCATAGATTGAAAATCTTGTCACAAATGTAGCACATAATATAGCTTGCAAACAACAGCAAGTGGAAAAAGGTACAAGTCCAGAAGATCAGCATATTAAGAGGTAAATTAATGAAAAGCATGCACAAGTGTTCAAATCAACTTGACAATCTACGACAGATTTCTATGAAAAAAATCTGTTTAAAAATGCCAAAACAGAACAGATTTTCTCTTAAATCTAATTATACAATTCATGAGTCCAAACCACAACAGACAGAGTTATAAGCACTCATCAATCATTGGGGATTATCCTGGTAATGATATCAGAGGGTAGAAGGAAATATCCAACAGTCTAAGTATTCAATTCAGCAGGAAAGAAAAATCTGTAGAGATATAAGTTAATTTCTGAATAAAAAGAATAATTTAAGATATTTCTAATGACTAAAGCTGAATATGTCTACCAATGGATCTTATTTTCTTGCCATTTGAGCAACAAAGTGAAGCTTAGGTGTTGTGCACATTTTCAAGTAATTTGTTTGTATGTTACAAATCATTTATAAACAACACAGTCTACTGAGTGAATGTACTGTATAATATACACTTTTCACAATGCCATCATTTATGTTAAGCTTCCTGAGTAACTGAAAAAAGCTTTTAGCCCTCAATTGCCCACAGCTATTTTATTTTCTGTGGATGCCAATGCCTAGTTTCTGCCTGATCCTGTAAAAAACTCAAAACAAATAGAAAAATTCAGGTCACCACTCAGGTATGTATCTTTTTAGAATATCTTTAAATATTATTATATAACTTCTGGAGATAAGGAAAGAGAAAAGGATTCTTCTAAAATATTTCCCTAGGAAGTCTAATGTACAATTGTCAAAAATCACTGCAAACAGAGAATTACACCCCTTTAGCACATAGAAGTATAAATTATAATAAGTCATGAACATAAAGATTTGACACTATACATAGTCAAATATTCCAACTGACAAAAGTCATGGGAAGTATCAGCCTCATGAAGAAGTAGATTAATTTTGATACTTTATCTGAATGCCTGTAAATTGCACGAGTTTTACCTTCAAAATAAGTCTGTTACAGTCATCATAAAATACATATAGTAGATCTGGAATCTTTTCAGGGAAACCACCTTGATATGACTACTCAACTTTAGATCTCATCATGCTGAGAACAATTAGTAGTTCAGAAAGAAAAGTATTTCATTCATAAGAAATGTAAAAGTTCACATTTTTAAAAATACCCATAAGGCCCAAGATTTTCTTAATGTACTACAGAGAGTCCAAATGCACATACTGCTTTGTTAATTGCTGCCAACCTTGCAGATTTGGAAACATTTTGATAAGGAGCATTAACAGAAATGCAAATATGTAATCTCCAATGAAAGATATATGCAATTCTAGTAAAAAAACCCCCACAAAAATAACAACCCCCCCTACACACACAACCAATATCAGTTCATTCACATAAAAGCTAACCTTATAGGCTTAACGGTTTAACTCTCAAAAGTCTCTATATGAGTGCCATAAGCTCAATTACCATTTTGCAATAGCAAATGCACATACATGCATGCACATACATGCATGCACACACATATATATTTTAAGGCCTCTTAAGACATAATCCAACTGTCACTCCATTATTTCATCTATAGTCTCACCAGAAAATTGGTTTTACCATTTTAATTAACCATTTAAAATGATCACTAGGAAGATGGTGTGAAAAAGACATGAATTAACAAATGTGATACTTATAAATTGAGTATATTTGATTCAGAAATCTGAACAACGATGAAAACTCATTCCCCATAATACCAGTTTTTCACACATCTTTAAAATGTTTAGGCTTTTAAATAGATACATCTCAATCCAACTGGCATGGGATCTTTCACACACCTGTTTGAGTATTCTGGCTATAGAACCTTGATCCATTTTGCTAGTGACTGCATCTTTCCTGAGTCTTGCAGCTACAGTTCCAAGATAGTCAAGCGATGCAACTCTTAATGCCATTTCTGTAGATTTGTTACTGAACTGGTGAACCTAAGAAAAGCAGAATAAGCTGTTATAAAAACTATTTATTTCTGTAACTGAGATTCTTCTTACAAGACAGTTTGACCTTATTCAAAAGTCCACCTAATTTCCATGCTGCTTAAAGTTATGTAATTTACTATTATATCACAGATACAGTCCTTACTTTACAATAATTTTTTTTCCTTTATTGAGTCTTTTGCTTTACAAATACACCTGTTATAAAAATATATATTTTTAAAAAACTAAAATAAACCAGACATCTAGTAAAGCAGATATCCTTTGCAATAGTATAGCACCATAATACATCTTCCTCATTATTCACACAAGTATAAAGAAAGCTATGTTTTACCAGGAACATGACCATAAAATATTTTCTAAATAAAAAGCTCAAAGTACTGTATTAATTGCATTTTAATACTGAAGAACAACTCTCAAAAAACATTACTACAAAAATATTCACATTCTGTAAAATGTCACAATCTGTAAGTAAATGTACAACTTTAAGACCAAACTTATAAAAGACCAAACTACTTAATTGTTTTCAGGTTCTGTGCTAAAGGAATAGTCCAGAGAAGTATGGGACTGGGAGAGCAAAGTCCCTCCCACTCTAAGTGAAGATCAGGCTCATGACCACCTGAGGAACCTGAATGTCCATAAAACCTTAGAGAACCTTCTGGTTCCTGAAGAGGGCCTGTAAGAAAGCTGGAGAGGGACTATTTGCAAGGGCATGGAGTGATAGAACAAGGGGGAATGGCTTCCCACTGCCAGAGGGCAAGGTTAGATGGGATATTGAGAAGAAATTTTTCCCTGTGAGAGTGGTGAGGCACTGGCACAGGTTGCTCAGAGAAGCTGTGACTGCCCCATCCCTGGAAGTGTTCAAGGCCAGGTTGGACAAGGCTTGGAGCAACCTGCTCTAGTGAAAGGTGTCCCTGCTTGTCCACTGCAGGGGTGTGGAATGAGATGAGCTTTAAAGTCTCTTCCAACCCAAACCATTCTATGATTCTATGAATAATTACAGGTATTAGTCTGACTTTATTCCCAATTAATATGAATGAAACTATTGGATAGTATCCAAAGGAGGGTAATGAAGATGGTGAAGGGTTTAGAGGGGAAGCCGTATAAGGAGTGGCTGAGGGCATTTGGTCTCTTCAGCCTGGAGAAGAGGAGACTGAGGTCAGACCTCATTGTGGTCTACAACTTCCTTGTGAGGGGCAGTGGAGGGGAAGACACTGATCTCTTCTCTGGTGACCAGTGACAGGACCTGAGGGAATGGCTGTGGCTGTGTCAGGGAGGTTTAGGTTGGATATCAGGAAAAGGTTCCGCCCTCAGAGGGTGGTCAGGCACTGAACAGGCTCCACAGGGCAGTGGTCACAGCCCCAAGGCTGCCAGAGCTCAAGAAGTGTTTGGACAATGCTCTCAGGCACAGGGTGGGATTGTTGGGGTGTGCTGTGCAGGACCAGGAGTTGGACTCAATAATCCTTGTGGGACCCTTCCAGCTCAGCATATTCTACGGTTCTATGAATATCTAAACTTATTAGATGCTATAGAATGGCATTTTTTAATGTGGAAAATGTCATGGAGTATTAGAAGAGGACTTTAATGAGAAACTGCATACATATGACCTTTATTAAGTTCCATATCAATGATCTTCTGACCTAAATTGTATTTTCTATGCATTACGTAATAGTGATACACGTAAGAATATCCTTACATGCTGCATGCATGTGTCAACAATCAGAAAACACTCCTGCAATAGTTTGAGCTGAAATAAACACATTTCATTGTAATAAGAAATAAATTAATATAATAGTTAAGAACAAGTATCCCTTACCAATAGCCTTCCTAATAAGCTAAGTAGCAACTCTGCAGCTGGCCATTCTGGTTTATTGACTGTGGAAAGAAGATCTTGAATAAAGTTCTCAAACAGTGGTCTGTAATCTTCTTCCCCTTGTTTACTGCCACATCTGTTTAAAACAAAATGCATGTTTGCAAGTGAATTTAAGAGCCATTTAAGCTTTTCTTTTGATGCAAAGAGAACTAATCCTATTTTTAGCCAGAAAACCAGTTTTATGCAATTCTAAAAAAAAAAAAAAAATTCCAAAATATTAGCAGAAAATTTGTTTTTTTCCATTTACAGACAAATAGTTCAAACATTTATCACTCCAAGTTGCACTGCAAGTAAAGCTGTTAATCCAGGGTAGTAGAATTTTGTTCCTAAGGTTTTTTATTTATTGTTTTGAGGTAAAATCTGCATTAACTTGGATAAACAAAGTAGGTAAAATTCCAAAGCTCAAGCTACAGTGGGGTATTCAGAAGGTGTTTAGTCCTTAAACCTGGTCTGACTTAACTCACAGTGACAAGGCATCTCAGTATTATGTTCCAGAAAGGTTAAAATCAGAATGTTAAAAAATCAAAAGATAACACATGTGATAGTGTTTCACCTATATGTGGCATCCCTAACTTTAATTATAGCAGAAGTATGCAGAGAAATGGCTAGATAGCTCATAAACAGCATTTTGGCTTAACAACAGAAATCAACATTATAAAAATCTCAGGACTTCTTACAAATCCTTTGGTTATTCAGGTTTGTTTTTTTTCCCTGCTGAGCTATTGACATTCCTAACTTTACCTAAATGAAAGTAATTTTAGGGTTTTTATCTTTTTGTCATTTTGATGACTGAAATAATCTGGTTTCATCACTTAAATATTTACTCAGCCTTCTCTTCAATGTTTCAAATGAGTAAAAGATCCCTGATAAAAGGATCCTATATAAATTATCAGACAAATTCTTAAATGTGTTCTTAAACTCTGCAGATTGTCTGTTCCATATAATGTTTTTTCCAGACAGGTAGCTCTCTCAGAGATCTATAAAATATATTGTTATAAGTAACTTTATTAGTAGTCATTTAGGATTGCGAAGTGGTTTGGTTTGTCTTAAAGTGTGACATTTTATTTGGAGTTGGTTTCATCAATACACTAAAGAATACAACAGTACTTACTTCTTAAGGAAAATAGAAAGGAAGTTTTGTGCTGTTCTCATGGCTGTTTCATATGAGTTAGTCATAAGCACATCTTGATCCACCTAAAAATAACAAGATGTATTTTTTTAATATTTTAGCATGCACAGAAATATAATTTCCAGATCAGCATTTCTCATTCATCAAATAATTAGAGCTGACATAAAATTAAAGGCTTGATTAACTAGAGTACCATAATAAAATATTATACCTACAAAGTCATTCCTGTAGCAAAAAAAAAAAAAAAAAAAAAAAATTATGGCTCTTTAAAAAAAAACTTACTTTTTTGTTTGATTCCTCCTCTGAATTAGAATCTTTTTCTGTTGATGGCAAATGCACCACACACTGAATAAGCTGCAGAACTAGTGCTGTTACCATCTGAATATACATAGGCTCTCCATCAGTGTCACTGCTGTTTAATCTGTTAATAAGACAGCATTAGCACTAAAACTAAACAAAAAAAAAAAAAAAAAAAAAAAACAACCCAAAAAACACCCCAGAAATTTTTTGTCCTAAATAACATCTTTCTAAATTAATAATCAAAGCTAGGAATCTGTGTTATACACATTTATCTTGTCATTTGCTTCTCTCTTATGCAATGAAAGATTTGGTCTAACTAAAATGGTAAGCATTATTCTCAGTCCAAAGAGATGAACTGAAACAGCTCACAGATGGGACATCAGAGTGTCTGTGAAGTTCAGCAGCAGAAAAATCTTCAGAAATATTTACTAAATCAAACACATCCATGTAAAGGCACTTACTAATAGGCTGATTCTGTATAATGCCATATCCATTTCCAACACAACATTAAAAAAATAGACCAAGCTTGTAATAACAATTTATTACTTACATATTATTTAATGTATCTGAAATGTGCAGGAATTTTAAATGAGAAATTAGTGACCATGACCTGGACTGGCTTCTACAAGAGTTACACCTATGGTAATTTCAGGTAGTGCAACAGACAATAAACTTCAGCATGCAAGACTGTCTTTTAAGTTGGTATGACCAGCATGAATACACTCCACATTTCTCCCTTTCCAAGTGATTTAACCTTATCAATAGTGTGGTGTTTACTACCCATATGTACATCAACACCACTTAGTGCTGCCTTTAACAATATGAAAAGGTGATAATCTCTGACATAATTCTCCCTAAATTATCAAAATAATAACTGGACACAAAACAGGTTGCAATTATTATCTTTATGAATTTATCTCTAACTACTTGTACAGAGAGAATATTTTCCTAAAAAATTTTAGGTAAGCTGCACCCTTTATGACTATAGCCACAGACAGGGAATGTCCTTCAACAAGTTAGAGCTAGGACTCTAGAGATAAGCAGTGCAGTCAGGGCCTTGAGACAGTAACTTCCTTATAGTAAAGGTCCCAATTCAAAGAGGGTATCTACCATTTATGCTCCTACACCTAACACCTTCCTATTTACTAGATCTCTCTGATGTCTATAAACAAAACAATAGGAAATACTAGGAATAAGCACTCATGTTAACATTAGAATTGCTGAATTCAACTTCAAAGTTTCCATTAATTAAATTTTCCTGGATATTTCCTGTTCATCCACCCTTGGTCAGAAAATCTATTTCATTGACAACTTGTCTGTCTCCAGGCAAAAGATGTATGGAAGCAAGGAACAAAATCAATAGTAAAACCAAATGTTTTAGAATAATTTGCAGACTCAATCAAAGTGTTATGAATAAAAAGTTATCTA